ATAATTAAATTGAACTAGTTTCCTTACAGTACTTAGCATAGTGATAAGAGTAAGTCTAGGTTCGTGCTGTGTAAAGACCAAAGAGATCTTCCAGATAGAAGGAGGAAAATGGGTCTTGCTCACTGCTGAACTTTCTCCATGCAGTCATGTTTTTCTATCTGTTAAATGAGGAGAAAACAAATAACATTTGTGGCTGTATAACCATTAAGTTAGGAGCAAATGGAAATCAGATACCTTACCCTCAGAAATTGAGGTGCACGTTTCTTTATATATAAATATGTACAGATGCATTTGAATGAATCTTTTGTATAAAAATTTCTGCTATGCTGGCAGTTCCCTTTAGGAACAGACTGAAGTGCCTTAACAAGAGGTTTTCTTCCCATCAAACGCACCTACGTGTAGCCCAAATGTGTAACTATAAAAGTTCTTGGCACCTATGTGGTGCTCCTCAGTTTAGAATTTCAAAGTGCTGTGTGGGGGCAGGCAGCCACAAGCTCCCCTGTTTTGCTGCTCACAGAGCCAGAGCTTTCCTGGAGATCTTCTTCCAAGCAAAGTTTCAGTCACTGAGGAATACTCTCTCTCTCTTTCTGAGGGAGCCTGGTCTTCTTACCAAGAGGGAACTTGCTTTCCCTGTCATCTTCAGCGTGTACCTGTAACTCTGAGCACAAATTGCAGCTCAGGAAAAAAGCAGAGGGTAACGTCTGGCCTTCCTCATGTTTCTTGCCTTTCTCTGAAGGTCTGAGAGCACTTAAAAGACAAAATAACCACTTGTGGTATGCAGCATCTGACAGCAAGATGGTGTGGTGGTTTCATTTGTAAACTAACACTTCAGGAACAAGTATTCCAAACAGCTGTCGAGTTTCTTTATCTCAAGGCTTCTTCCAAAATTGTAACATCTACAGAAATAAATTAAACAAAAATGAATTAACTGAAACATTTTAGAATATTCTCCATTTGTCATCTTTGGTATTAGCCCTTGTCCTGATGGTGAATGAATCAAGTTCTGACTCAGTCTACTAGTTTCTTGCATTAGAAAATCATTAATGCAATAGAATGATGTCTTTGTGGTGGAGGCTTTGTGTGTTGTTTTTCTCTTTTTAATTCTTCTTTCTAGCCTTCTTCAGTACCTGAAGGAATTTCAATGATGCTGTCCCAGAAAAGGCAAAAACATGACTTGGGAGGGATTTTAGGACTGGAAGAGTTCAGTTCATTGCCTGGATCCTCTTTTATTCTCCTGTATCTCTTTTTCTTCGGCATGATGGACAACTCTGACCCTTAGGCAAAATGTAATATAATTCCTTAGCCACAGACTTCCAGTGATAGCTGTGCTACTCCTACTGTAGTTTTACTTCCAACTGAACTCTTAACGTATGTTAAAATGTTTGTATGTGAAAGATTTTCTGTAGTTCTGTGTCTTTTACAATTTCTTCAGACTGTAGAACTTTTTTTTTTTTTTTTTTTCCTGTGCTATAGGCTATCAGTTTTGCTATTGGACTTCAATACTGCCTCATGAATTTTACATATAGCCCTGGAAGTTGTTAAATCTTGTATTCTCACATAGGGGACTTAATTCTTGCTCTCTTTCACACCAAATAAATATCCTATATTCTTGGGGGTAAAGAAATGGAAAACAATCTCAACTGTGTTTCGCTTTACTTAAAAATTAATAGAAATCAGTATTTATTAACAGCAGAGCTTGTATCATCATGAATGCAACAATCTCTTCTCTTACAGTGAAATTTGTACACCAAGGAAAGAACTACGAAAGGAGAGAAATGTTCAATGTCCTTGAAAGCAAAGTTGGCAGATCCTAGAAAGTCCAGGCCACAGAATCATGGAATGGCTTAGATTGGAAGTGACCTTAATGATCATCTAGTTCCAACCCCCTTGCCCAGAGCTCCATCCAACCTAGCTTTGCACGCTTCCACAGATAAGTCATCTACACCTTCTCTGGGCAACATGTTCCAGTCTCTCACCACCCTCAGAGTGTAGAATTTCTACCAAATATTTAATCTAATTCTGTCTTTGTTTAGTTTAAAGCAGTTATTCCTGTCTGGGTAAGGACTTCCTCCTCAATTTTCCTGTAGGACCACTTTTTAGGTGTTGGAAGGCTGTAATGAGGTTTCCCTGAAGCCTTCCCTCCTCCATGCTGAACAAGCCCATGCTCTCAGCCTTTCTTTGTAAGAGAGGTGCTCCAGCCCTCTGCTCATCCTCCTGGCCCTTCCCCATGCCTGCTCCAACAGCTCCACATCTTTCCTGTACTGGGTGCCTCAGAGCTGAATGTGGCACTGCAGATGGGACCTCACAAAACCACAATAGAAGGGAAGTATAATGTGAACTGTACCCCAGCAAAGGGGAACAGAATCCACCTGTACTTCTTGTTCCTGTGTCTTGATCACTTTTTCCACATCACCTGTAGGTGAAAGGAGAGATTCTCTGAAATGGGAATATCTGATAGTACCAAAAAATCAAACACTTATTTAAGAGTATGCTAGTAAACTAACCTTATCTCTGATGGGGACCTTGGTCCTATTGTGATGCAGGATGCAATTTAGGACAGACCAAGGCCTATTTCCTAAGGCTTTCTTAGATACAGCCATCTTATCATAGAATCATAAAATTGCTCAGGTTGGAAAAGACCTTAAAGGTCATGAAGTCCTACTGCAACCTAATCATACCACCTGAACTCTAACAACCCTCCACTAAATCATGTCCCTGAGCATCACATTCAAATGGTTTTTAATCACATTCAGGGATGGTTACTCATCCTATACTAAAGCTCAAAGTATTTAAAAAAAATTTAGCAGTTGCTGGACTTTTAAGACTACAGATTGAGTAAAGGCATGGTCTGGTTGACTAGCACAGGAACAGTGAAGCGGTCTGAAACTTAAAGCCTTGCTTCTGAGGTTATTTAGAGTTGCTCTACATTGGACTTCCAGGGAGAGAAGGACTCCGAAGAAAATTAGCAAGCTATGGCCCATTACTTTCAGGGCTTTTGGCTGCTACTTTCCTTGGGGCAGCTGGGAAAATCAGCCCTGATGCATGTCGACAGGCTACCTCCTACTACGGCAATCTTTTTGCACGCAGTGTTACTTAGCTTTATTAGCAGCAGCCTTCTGAAACAGTTAGCTATCAATGTCTTCCTTTACAGTTGAGTAAACTGAAACAGTGATGCTGGAGGACCTGTTGAGGCCATAGATAAATTAGCAATAAAAGTGAATGCTCTCACATTCCTGATCCCTTTGCTTTAAGCACAACCCTATGGGCTTCCTTAGCTGAAAAGCATGCTAATTACATGCAGTTCCAGTAGTGAAAGATTTAAAGAGCAGGGTTAGATGATTTACCAAGCATAGATAATCTATCAAAACAGTATGGTAGTACAAGATGATGGTCTATAACAAAAATGACAATGATGGAACTAGCTTCTGTGTATCTGCTGGTGCTTTGCCAGCACTAGTGAGCATGTACTCCTTTACAACTGTTGGCTACAGTGAGAATCTTTGTTAAAAGACTCAGAATCAAGTTCTCAGTTCTGTTTCAGTGTGAGATCCTGTGGCCAATGCACAATTTCATCTCCTTAATCATTAAGAGATCATAGAATGGTTTGGGTTGGAAAGGACCCTTAAGATCATGTAGTTCCAACTCCCTGCTATAGGCAAGGACACCTCCTCTAGACCAGGTTGCTCAAAGCCCCATCTAGCCTGGCCTTAAATGCTTCTAGGCAGGGGCATTCCATAACCTTACTGGGCAACCTGTTCGAGATGTGATCTGACTGATCTTGCCTGTGAGGCTCTTCATCTGCTCAAATCTGGATCCAGTACACAGGCTCATAGTGAGGAATGCTATGGTGAAATTAGTGCTGCCATTTCACATGCACAGGCAATTATCTCTATTTGGACAATTTTATAGGGCTTTAAAAAATGATACTACTTACAGTCTTACTAATGCCCAAAAGTTTGTAAGAAATGTAATGTGGGTTAAAACAGAACAGGAGCATAGAGGATATATATGCTTAATCGTGAATACATTTGAGTGACACTTCTACCTGCATAAATTTGAACTTCACTGCTTTTGAAGACAGTGATGGATTTCACACAGGTTGCTCCAGTATGCATATACCATCTGAGAAGAGTATTGAGTGAACTTAGGGTGAAGCAAAAGGGAAAAGGTCTTAGGGAAAAAAGTACAAAACCTATTTTACTATTATATATTACATGTACCTATTTTACCTATTTCATTACGTACAACCAGAAAGAGGAAAAAAAAAAGAGGGAAATGCAGCAACGTTTTAGATTTGCAGAGCTCTGCTGCAGGATGCATTCACAACCAAAGCCACCTGCCCCACACAGACATGTTGATCTATTCATCCCAGTGAGACAAGCCTGTTTTCTCTGCCTGTTGCTCTCCTGGTGTCTTACATTTCCCCACAAAGAAAAGGTTAATCTGCTTTAATGAATTCCATGCTGTTCAGCCTCGCAATACAGCAACTCTGTGTCAGATTTTGCTCCTCTCTGTGCGTTGCTGGGCTCGGTGTAGCCAAGTATTTGAAATCAATCTGCACTGAGATTTATGGAGCTTTTGTTTTCTTTTTTTTCCTCCAGTTTGGTTAGACCTATGTGATCTTGGTCACACGTAAGGTAAAAGAAATTAAAGATTTGTACTATGTTCTAATTTCTTTGGCTTTTGGAAGGTTTCATGTGTGTGTTTTATAGGACTGTTACTAGTTGTAAGAAACAGCTGATGTGACAGCTTTTAGTAAGGACGTTACAGTTACTAGCATCCTCTTAGGTTTCAATACGTCTTGAGGATAAAATTTTGCATCTTTCTGATATATGAATCAATTTATTTCACACCAGAGAGAAGGAAGAGGAGGGACAGATCTCAGCCTAACCTTACTCCAGTAGTTTGGTATAAAAATGTATTCCACACTTTATCAGACTCTGAAGCAAAGTTTTTTTTTGGATTAAAAACAGAAATACGATTTGTTTCTATATATATTAAAACAGAAGATAGACTTTAGCAGCAATTTATCTATACAAGATCAGTTGGTTTATATTTCATTTCCAGTGTTTAATCATCAGCTTTAGACTTTACTTATCTACCAGGTATGTAATACAAAGTACAGACTATAACATCGATATTTATTTGTTATGAGCAAAGAAGTTCCTGCTATTAGTTCCTTTCTTGATTTTTAAGTACAGAGGAAATGTACACAAATAAGTAATATTTGAACTAGCTAAACATGTTCCCCCTCATCCTGATATTAAAGTGCCTACAAATCAATACACTTATAAATCCTATGTGGTTGTTGTTACTTTTTACAAATTCACTTTAAAACCTATGGATTTACTGTTGTCTGCATTAAACAGAAAATCAGTCAGAACACAGATATGTAAATCCTAGAAGGTTCACATGGCTTTTTGGTTCATATCAGATCAGCTTTAAAATTTGTCAGGAGCTTATCATTAAAATAAACAAACAAAAAATGACAAAACAGGAGCATAAGAAAAACGTAAAGCAAGACTTCCATCGCAGCAACTTGCAGCTCAGGCTTTAGGCAGCCCCACATCACCTTCCAGCATCGCGTCCTACATACGCAGAGACCCTCGCTCTCCCTCCCTCACGTTCCTCTGTCACCCCATGCAGCCATGCTCCAAGAAAGGAGAAATCGAGCTGGTTTCGTTGTCTTTTTCAAAGGGCCCTTCCACAGCAGAGCCTGGGGGTGCCAGGGCAGGTGTTCCAACCGGGCCCTACACCCGCTTGACGCTGTTGAGGAGCTCCGTCAGTTCGCTGATGTACTTGATGGTGTACTTGAGGGTCTGTATTTTGGTGAGGGGCTGTCCCCGCTGGCTGTAGGCGGGCGGCAGGTAGTTGCGCAGTGTGTGCAGTGCATCGGCCAGGGTCCTCATCCGCAGCTTCTCCCTCTCGCTGGCTTTCCTCCGGCGCTGAGCTGACATCCGCACCTTGGTGCCCTTGGGCAGCCGGGCCTGACCGGGGCTGGGCAGGTAGGCTGGGGGGAAGTCCACCAGGCCGTAGCCCACCAGGCCGCCACCGCTGTATGGGGTCTCAGCTGCTGCCGGGCACGGGGACGAGGAGTAAGACTCAAAGGATGGCGTTGGGGACAAGCTGTGTGGAGAGGAGACAGAGTGCAGCTCGAAAGCCCCAGTGGAGTTCTTCCAGTCCCAGGAGGATAAGCAGACAGAGTGCTCCGAACCCAAAGTGTCTTCCATATTTATCAACGTCTCGTGCAATTTGTCCATTCTGGAGGAGCGCGCGGGAGAAGCAATTCCCGCTGCCCGCCAGCAAAGGCTGGAGCTGCCTGCTGCTGAGACCTTTTTATGATGGAGGGAGGAAAGTGACAAAGTGGGAACGTGGGTTTGGCCAGGGGAGTTCAAAGGAGCACCACAAGTGCTAAGATGGAAAATGAACTCCTGATGTGCTAGTTTCTTCTCAGTGATAATTATCAACCTTCAGCTAAAAAGCCTTTAAGCTAACAGGCAACAGTGAGGAAGGAGGAAAAAAAGATTATCTTCTTGTGACTAAACCAATTAAGGCTGCGCATCAACATTTAACGCTGCACTGGGGGGATAAGTGACGGGAGAGGAAAAAGAAAATTAACCATTTTACAAAGCAGTTAACAGAGAGTTTAAAGATAGCGAGCACTGACTTAGGGCCAGAATTTAAACTATTGAGCCCTGTTTTCTGTGTGACTGTTCGGAAGGAACTGCACCGCAGCAGTGATCAGCTGATCCATGCTGACTGTGGCTGAGATTCTCTCACTAAATGCATCTTAATTGTGAAACCCAAAAATGGTTGTCTTGGACTTTGATGTGTGTGGCTCTGTGGATTTCTCGTCTCGTTGGGTTGTAATTTCTCTTTGAATAATTAGCTTTTCAACAAGAGAAAGGGGAAAATCTGGATATTCCCTACAGGGAACTGCACTTAGTTTATCATTTCAAATCTTGAGTCAAAAGGCAAAGAGGAAATTTGTAGTTGTAAAGAAAGTCAGAGTCCTATTTAACAAAAGATTTGGGAAGATGTAATTAAAAAAAATAAACATATAGGAAATTAAATCAACACAAACTTCAGGCCTGAGCAGTTGTCTTAGATAGGAATTTAATTCAAAGCTGTATAGAGGTTAGGAATGTGTAAGAGAAGACTAGAAGATATTTATATAAGAATTTCTACCTCTATGAATCTGTTTTTCTGCTAAAAAAAAACTTTTCCGTCCCTTACTGAATACAACGGTGAAGATAGATGTTAGGCATTTCAAATGAAAATATATATCCTAAAAATGAATAGCATTAATAATGAGCACTTTTCATCTGTAGGCCTCTGAAGAGTTTACAGTGATGATTAATGATCTTTATTCCCCAAGGAAATGGATAAGCGGAGTCAAGGAGGAACTTGCTCAAGACCACACAGCAAATCATTAGGAGGGAAAACAACTGAGCTCTGTAGCCACTGAGCAGCTCGGCTGCCAGCCATGGCTTCATATTAATCTGTCATAGAAGCAAGATATAATATACAATGAAAAGAAAGAGAGAGCAAGTGCTAACCTGAAGGACCAAGAAAAGTAGGGTAGGATTTAGTTTAGAGCTTCAGTGTAATGACCTCTGTGTGCTTAGTAATCCACTCTGAAAAGAAAAGGGAGAAAGGCTTTTAGATGGCACATAGTCAAAGCAAGGTGGAAGATACCATTTCTTTGTGACTACAAAATCCTCACTACAACCACTAAGAGGAAAATCCTATGTGCACTGAAAATAGGGGCTGATCCAATATTCACTGAAGTCTTTTATGGATTTTTGTTGAGTTTGGAATCAAAACATTTGGAAGCTGCTTGCAGGAGAATTACTGATTTTATCATGAGGTGAGTAAGAAAGAACCACAAAGTGAATGTGAAGGGTTTTAGCATTTCAAACCAGTCTGAGATGATTTGTCTGTGATGAAATATATCTCATGCTCAGGGAAACTCAGGGCACACCTTACCTCAGTCAGGATTGCTTTGGGTTTTCCAGTTATCCTGTGTTGTTCTGATCTTTTCTTTTTTTCTTTAAGGAAAATGAGTTGCAATAGTCCAAAGAACAACAAATTCCTGCTATAAATTAAAATTAAGAGAAGATTTACAGCAGGTATTTTTGTGACTAGAGAGCTGAGTGAGCACCATTTCAGAGGTCACCAAGTCACAAGTCAGACTCAAAAACTGATTTAGCATAAAAATGAGTAACTTTTGTCCCAGTTAAAATCTCCCATTCTCTTTTTGTGTTTTCCTCATATTTGCATTTGTATTTATAGTACCTTCATGGTGCATATATAAATGCATATTTATATATATATATGACCCTTTCTTCTCATTGATTTTGATTTTGGAATCAAAAATCTACTGCCATTGAAGGCAGTCAAATTTGGAAGCAAAAATTTCAACAAATTACTTGTTAGCTATTTCTAACCAATGCATAATAATGGTAAATGTCAAAAAATCAAGAAGCAATGTAAGGTCCAGGATTCCTGTATGTTCTACAGACTATTTAATTCAACAGAGGATCATGGTTTTTAGTTTTTCTTGTATTCATTCCGTGATTCTGTCATTCTGTAATTAATTTTTGTCTGCAACCACATCTCTACCTGCAATGTGTGAATCATCGGTTGGGAAATGATCTCACAAATTAGGGACAGTTACAATAGGAAAAAAAAAAATACTGGAAATGATAGAAGTCATGGTGTTCCACTATAGCAGGGTTGAAAATGTGATACAGAGGAGGGTACGGCTATGTGGTGGATAGCAGGTATATTCTCATATATTCTAGGACTGTTTGATGCTCATTCATTAAAGAACTAAGAAAGTATAGTGTTTCAAATGTCACCTTCCTAAAGTTTAAATACATGGAGGAAAAAAAAAAAGAAGAAGAAGAAGAAGAAATTTAAAGAAGCATTGCAATCTTTATTTTATTCGACCTTGAGCAGATTTGGAGAAGTCCCTTTTGTTCTCCCAGTAATGCCAAAAGATTGCAAGGCAGTAAGAAATGAGGCTAACGCCAATGACATACTCACACTTACAAAATGATGAGGGATTTTCTGCTTGACTGACAGTTTTGATTTCCATTCCAGTAATTTATTCAGCAATATAAAGGCTAACATCTCCATCTTCATCTCTTTTAAAATGAAAGGTTCCCTAATCAGATTTCTGTATTTATAACAGAAGGAAGGAGAAGCATGGATGGAGCAAAACTTTTTATATCTAAAAGAAAAGCATAAAATTGAATTTTTTTTAGCTTCTCTGTGTGTCTGATTCAGGGTTTACATTTAAAATAAGATGTCCAGGTAGTTTGTCACTCACAGGTACGGTAGGTAATTATGTAGATATTTAAGGATTGACATACATTTTTAGTCTGTAAAAATTCCAGATCATATTTCCATCAATCTGTGAGGTTTGGAGAGTAAACAGACTTGAAATAGTGAGGAAAAAGTCATATGAAGTGGCTGAATATATTTCAGTAGCACTTAGCAGTCCACCTCCTTGAGAGTTAGGACAGAAGTCTGGTCTTACTGCACTGACAAGCAGTACATTATACAAACAGAGCTCTAAGATGATATGTTTTCAACTTTATTCTACATCTGCAAAGCTCTTAAAAGTCACTTCATCTCTCACTTAACATGGTTTTCCAAGCACTCTCTGCTTTGCCTCCCACTCTCCGTGCAGCTGGCTGTTGATGATCCTGCTTTGCACAGACCCAGCCGCACAGATGTAAAACGTGGTGCAAGCAGCTGCAGGTCTCCCTGGTTTCAGTAGACGCAGCAGGTGTTCAACACTTCCGAAAAGTAACACTGGACACCTCTGTTTACGCCTAAGCTGGCAATAAAGGAAGAAAAGGATCTAGCCCATTTGTTATCCAGAGTCCCATTAGCCACTGGGCGATGCTTCTCTCTTTTTTAATGCTTTCCCTTAATTTGGAGTAGAAGTGTTTTGGTTTTTTTGTTTTGTTTTTTTTTTTTTTTTAATGAATTTATTTGAGGTTTTTTTAATACTTCTGGAAGAGGGTCTAACTTGAATTCAATCTCAGCTGAAATCAGTAGGATTTGTAGATAAGTAAGCTGCACTGTACCAGCAAATATCCACATCTTTTTTTTTCTGAGGTCATTATTCCAAAGAATATGGATGAACAACTATCTACAACTCCTAGGGGGAAGCAAGGCAGTAAGAACTGGAGCTGATCCTGAGTTCCCCTAAAAAGTAACTGCAACTCCTTACTACAGTCAGTGAAAACCATGTGCAAATTGGATCCCTAATTGTTATCACCATCTTTGGTGGCTAGGATGAGAGAAAATACTGCTATTCATTTGTAGTAGGACCAGAAACTGGTGAGTTGCAGAGCTGCTAAAAATCCTGCCTTAGACATTTAAACTCTTCAGCTCTCTCTACTCCAAAATACCACACCAAGAGCCTGCTGATGAAGGACAAGTATTGTGGATGTCATGCTAAGTATCATAGATTTCACCAGCGCTTTGGATGGTGGCAGGCACCTCTCTGCAGTTGCCCTGGCAGGAGCAGGACCCGTCTACTTGCTTTACATCCTCACATCTATTTGATCCTCCAAATAGTGGCAGTCTCTGTTGACTGAAAAGTGACATCAGCTCCGCAGTTCATTTAAAACATCTGATCTCCAAGCAACTGGCTTCCTAGATGAAAAGGCCTACGTGTGGAATTTACACCTATCCACCTTTTAAGTAGGGAGTTTATTACCTAGTGGCTTTCAGCTGATTTTTCAGGAATGTCTTTTTAATACCTCTGTTAACAGAAGTTGAAAGGAGATTAGGCTATGTGGTTGGTCTTTAATGTCTACTGGCTACTTCAGCCAGAAGGAAAGGGCAAAGCTGAGGGGGAGGGGGCCCTAACGAGGCTCATTTTGCTCAGAAAATGAGAAGTTTTAGATATTATCAGAATAATAGAAGTCATTTAGGTGGGAGAACTCCGTTATCTCTCAGTGCATATTCATTGTATGAACTTTCACATGTTTTTAGAACAAAATGACTACTGAAATTGAGTTGATTTATTTCAAAGCTTTTCGTGGGAGAGGTGGAAGAATACCTGCTGTAAACATTTTAATATCCTAAGCAGTGCCTCCTTTTCTCCTCAAAAGCATAGGATCAAGTTTCATAAAGTACAATATAGTTTATTTCCAAGTTTTTCTTGTAATCTTTTTGTAAACACCCAGATGTTTCATTTTGTCATGTCTGGGGCAGCACAGAATTGTCCCAGACAAAGTTCAAGGTTGGTAATCCCGTTTTCCTGCCATTGCACTGATACTTTGTGCCCTGTGCTCCAAATGCTTCATTTTGCAGTGTGACAGATATTCTAAACCTCACTAATTCTTCTGAGAAATTCCAATGGCCGGGAAATTTTCCCTGAATGTGTTTAAAAACCATTTGGATATGGTGCTCAGGGACATGATTTAGTGGAGTTAGGGGAGTGTGATTAGATTGCAGTTGGGCTTCATGACCTTTAAGGTCTTTTCCAACCAGCGCAATTCTATGATTCTGTGTTTCTAAATTTGAATTAAAATCTCAGTTGTGCTTATTTCAATTCCAGTTGCAGAGCTGAAGCAGAGTGTTTGTAAAGGAGACTAGTTTTCGATTGCTCTGAGTTCATCTCAGGCCGTTCCTTTCCATCCAGTGAACCCCATCAGGACCTGCTCATTTCTCCCTCCCTCATGTCTGAGCACTGATGTGCAGAATTGCTGCTCGCTGTTAATAGAAACCATATTTCATCCAAATGAAGTTATGCTATGAACAGAGCCTGCAGCTCAGTTTAATAATTATAAAATGGATCAATAGTCTAAGGTAAGAGGCAACAAACAGGTGTTAGGTTATAAATATTATTTAGCACTTACATATTTCCCCTGTTCTGAAATAGAGCGCTGTGTGCATGTTGCAGGCTTCCTTCCCCGAACACTTGGTTAACCTGTGGGTGGGGACTGTAAATCACAAGTTGCCAAATCTCAATTTTAATCACATTCAGTTCCACAAAAAGCAAATCAGTCTTTTGGTCCACTGATGAATGCGAATTGTACTAAGTACTTCTCTTTTTTTTTTTTTTTTTGCTCCAGATGCCTTTGTAATTTGCCTGACAAATTAAACTCAGTGTTATAATGGTTCCACGAAAGTATTTGAGCAAAGCTGCTGCTATTTTTAATAGCTAAACTTTGAACACATGTCAGGTTTCCAAATGATACCAAACTGGGAGAGAGTGATTAATGTATTGGAGGGCAGAGGTGCCACTCAGAGGGATCTGGGCAGAGAAAACTGTTTGAGAAGACCCTCAGGAGGTACAGGGACAGCAAAAGCAAAGAGTCATGGAATCATCATGGTTGGAAAAGACCTCTGAGATTATCTAGTCCAACCATCAACCCATCCCTACCATGCCCCCTACTAACCATGGCCCTCAGTGCCACATCTCCATGGTTCTTGAACACCTTCAGGGGTAGTAACCACACCACCTCCATGGGCAGCCTGTGCCAATGCCTCACCACTCTTACAGTTTTCCAGGGGCTGGGAGAGCTTCACGCAGCACAGGAGCAGGATAACAAGCCAGGAAGCAGCTTGACTGCTTCCCCTGAACAGAAGACCGATGGAAGCAGATGGGCTGACAGGCTGGAGTGGGTCCAGCAAAGTGACCCTGAGTTGGAGCATGTGGTGTGCAGGGAGAGGCCTGGAGAGGTGGGTCTGTCCACCCTGGGATTGAGAAGGCTCCAGGTAAACCTGGTGGCTGCAGCCACGTGATGGCAGAGGGAAAAGAAGAGCATTCAAACTCTCTGCAGAGGCTCCCAGTGGAAAAAAAAAACCACAATGAGCACCTCAAGTGCTGAGTTTTATGGGCTTTCAGTCTCTCAGCGATTTCTTACAGACTTCTCGCTATACTTTTGGTTATACAGGGTTTTATGGGCTTTCAGTCTCTCAGCGATTTCTTACAGACTTCTCGCTATACTTTTGGTTATACAGGACACCAATACATTTCCTTTCTGATTACATTTTTAGGGAGTTGGACTGATTTGAGACAGCTGAGTGACAAGTGTATGAGCACACAGGAATATTCGCAACAACTGTAGACCTCGTTCCCTTTCTTTGCCTTATAATCAGGTTTTACTGTCTGTCTCGTCTAAATGTCTCTAATTCCATCTTCCTCTCTATGACTAGATAGCATATCTTTTTATTTTTTCCTTTCCTTCCTCCTTTTCTCCCTTCCTTTCATCCTGTTCCCTCCCTCCTTTTCTCCCTCCCTCCTTTCCTTTTTTCCTTCTCCCTCCCCTCCTTCTTTTCTTTCTCCCTCCCTCCTTTCCTTTCTTCCTGCTCCCTCCCTCCTTCTTTTCTCCCTCCTTCCCTCCTTTCCTTTCTTCCTTCCTTATTTCTTAAGATTTGATCTGGTTGTATATTTAATTTTCAGACTCCCATTCTCCTTCTGTTTTTCTTGGCAGAACAAGATGCCTTCTTAAAATCTCCTGCCTGTACAAATCATACATCTTTGCTTACCTGCTCAGCTATGTGGATAAACCTAATGTTAGAAGTAGAAAACACTTCATTATCCACTTGGAATTGTCCAAAGCATAGGTTATAGAATAAATAAAATAAATATCTATAGCAATTATTAAGGTTGCAAAGATGCAAGAAGCCATTACTTGAGGCCAACTTTTACTTGAGCAAACTCTTATTATTTTCTATTTTTTTAAAGACAAGGGAGAGCAAAAAATCCTAAATTCTGACTAGGAAAATTTATCTGTGGGCCAGTAAGTTAAGCTTATTCTTATCTATTAGGTCAAAAAGCAAGGAGATAACTTCCTTCACACTGGCACCCCATTTCACAGCATGCTGCTGGCTGCCCCATCGCTGTGATGAGACATAGGTTTCTGGTGTGTGCCCTAAGTTCCTGCATAGTTAATGGCAACTGATGTGTGCATGCATGGATGAGCAGGTAGCTCTTACACCAGCAGATATGCACATCTTGAGGGCAGATAGTCTTTACTAAGAGGCTGTTATTCTGGGGGCAAACCAAGGAGAACAGTAAATCACTGCTGCCTGCAGAACCCCAGAGCCCCCATCTCCTGCTTCCTCAGACAGTGATTGTGCCAGGGTAGGGATCCCTCTCTGATAAGATCTTCATGGTGCCTACCACAAGGGTTGAATTAAGCTGCTGGCACTTTGCTATTGCAAAACACTGCATAAAATGGGGACATGATCAGAAAGCAACTAAGTCTAAATTTTCCAGGCAATATCACTTTAAAGCTTTTGACCCCCCCACCCCCTTCAGGGAAGTAGTCTTCTAAAGTAAATACTAGCAAATGGGTTGTATTCAAAAAAAAAAAAAAAAAAAAAAAAAAAAGAGGGAGAGAAAAAAGGGAATTGTAATTTCCCCCTGACATTGACCCGACCTGTCAGGCTTCAATGCACGCTCATCAGTCTCCTGCTCTGATCTGATAGCTGACATTCTGTGATATGCTGAAAGCAAAGTAACACAGATGGATAGTGTTCTCTTTTGAAGAGCAAAATGCATCAGTAACTGAATTTTCAAGTAAGTTCAACGTGAAGTTAACTCTTAGATTGTAGGAGCATCTTCTAGTTGAAAGGGAACAAAGACTGCAGACTTAGTAGGGACTCCCTATTATAATGCATATAATGTAAGCTAACATTTACATAGTCCCTGCTTCTTTCTATATACTTCAGACACTAGCTTATCAACACTCATTACAAAGCTTTAAAAAGACTTCTAAGCGTTCCTTAGGGCAGCCAGAACCTCCCAAACACAACATGCAGCGTGAAGCCAGCTCCAAGCATCCCCAAGCTCCATCAGGCTTTCTTCCTCCAAGAACCTCCATGTGTCCCTATGAGGACAGGCTGAGAAAGCTGGGGCTGTTCAGCCTGGAAAAGAGAAGGCTGTGAGATGACCTGATAGTGGCCTTTCAGTATCTTAAGGGGAGCTACAGCAAAGAGGGGCACAGACTCTTTAGCAGGGCCTGTGGTGATAGAACAAGTGGAAATGGCCTCAAGCTTAAAGAGGGAGATCAAGATTAGTTATAAAGAAAATGTCTTTTACAGTGAGGGTGGTGAGGTATTGGAACAGGTTGCCCAGATAAGTGGTTGATGGAGACTTTCAAGGCTCAAACCCTGGGCAACCTGACCTAGCTGTTGTGTCCCGGTTCATTGCAGGGGAGTTGAGTTAGATGACCTTTAAAAGTCTTTTCCAATTCTAAGAATTCTCTGATTCTCTGATTCTAAGCGTTCTCTTCTTTCAGAAGGAGAGCTCAGCTTGGAGAAATAACATGTATTATTTGGACAGGAAGAAATTTCATCCCAGAACTTTTTAGTTAGTTCCTCCCTTAGGAATCAGTTCTGAGATGAGAAGAAAATGAATTCCTAGCATGTGGATCTGGAATTCACCATTACAATACAGCAGAGGAAATAACTGTTATATTCAATTTTACAATCATGAAGGATAGAGTGATCTCATTTCAAATGTTCAGATGAGTTCCTGCTGAATCCTACGAGTCCCTTCTTACTTCAGGGTAAGACAGTAAACACTACTATGAACATCCTTTATATTTCCTATGGTTTACTCTTGATTTTGCTCACATGCACTCATGATCTCAATAAATCTTTGATTTTATTTCCAGGCTTCCTCTTCCAGCTGGAGATTGCTTTCACACCCAGATGATCACCTTCCCTTTCTGGTCTAACAACCAAGCAAAAAATATTATTTAAGAGACAACTCCATGGCCATCTTTTCTCAGGTTTGCTAGGTGACAAAATTCTCAGTGTCATACACTGAGATGTGCCCTGTTAAGAGTAATTTCACCCAGACAGAAGCAGCCAATCCTCCTGTCTGGATGGACATTATATCAGAATCTCTAATTGTTCAAAATTTTCCATGAGGACTTGCTCTAGCTTGAAATGAAATCTAATAAAATAAGTTAAACATACTTTTTTTCTTGCATGGTATTAGGGCCACTCAAATTCAGCAACAGAATTGCAATTTTGGGTGACTTTTGGGTAATTTTTGGCTATTTTTTTCTAGTGTATTTCTTCCAAGTGACTCAGAGCCGTGGGAGCCCCTGGATGCTCCACCTGGCAAAACGTGGGTGTAGGTGTCTGCCAGGAGGGAGAGACAGCACTGGAGGGAAAAGATCAAAGCCCTATAAATGTGTCAAACTTTCAAATGCAAATCACCTGCCATAACTCTGCTGAGAACAAATCCTTCATTATCACCATTCTGTGAAAGGCTTAAATTAGCCTGAATTGGCTGGCAAGAACAAGAAAAAGAAAGCCATTTATCTTCCTGTGAGCTTTATTACCTTCGGATTTATTTGGCTAATGGTCCAATAACTCACTGATCAGAATATCTGCATAACGAATACTTCAAATGATCCAAAAATACAATTTTTGATCACATGAGGTTATTAAAGTTAAAGCGAGACCTGTGGCAATGGGTTATTACAGTGTCAAAAAGAGTCTTCACAATATGTTATTCTTTTTAATTGACAAACTATGAGCTGCTGAGATTTACATACTAACAATTATCCTCTGGCTTCTTTTCTATGGGGTTGAACTAAAATTAGGGGATTCCGCTAATGTGCATTTCCTAAGCATGTTCTCTGGACACATACCATATCCATTCTTATTTTAGACTGCCATTATTTTGAAAACCTAACTAATTTCTTAGTGAAAAAAATACATTTCTTTCCTTCCTACTTTTTAAAATAGAATCATAGAATCATTAAGGTTGGAAAGGCCACTAAGATCATATAGTCCAACCATCAACCCATGCCTGTGACTGCTCTAGCCCATGACCCTCAGTGCCACCTCTCCATGGTTCTTGAACACCTCCCTGGTGACTCCACCACCTCCCTGGGCAGCCTGTTCCAATGCATCACCACTCTTTCTGAGAAGAAATTTTCCCCAATAACCGACTTGAACCTCCCCTGTGCAACTTGAGGCCATTACATGACATGCTGTCACTGTTACCTGGAAAAAGAGGCCCACCCACACCTCACAACAACCTTCCTCTGGGGAGCTGTAGTTTAAAAAATAGACTAAGGCACATTAAGTATTTGATTAACTGACTTGAAGAGTTTAAGAAGTACTGCACAACATTTAATGCTGATTCATAAGGGGAAATTCTAGCACTTCGCTTTGTTAAATTAACTGCAGTGAGGTTTTCTTAAGAGAGCATTATTGGGATCCTTGGAAGATGCACCCTGATCAGGAAAATCTTGGTCACGGTAGAGAAAGGTCTGAGGGGTGCTGAATGGAGACCACTCAGCAAGCACCTCCATGAGGATCGGGTGAGGCTGACCAGAGCATCTGGGGTGGTAATTTCTGCACAGATATCTTGCACCTCACTGGTTCTTCTGTTGGTCATAGTTTGGATATATTCCCCCACTGATACATCCCCATCCCCACAGTGACCCACATGAGTCACACTCTGAATGATCAGTTAAATACAATTTACAAAACATGTCTTTTCCCCAAAGGAAAGTAACAAGGTTATATGTGTTCAAACAAGAAGGCTTTGTAAGGTGATACAGATACTTACATGCATGCCACAACAGGAGGACTCAGCTGCTCTGAAGCTTTTCCCTGTTCACTGTCACTAAGTCTACCACAAAGTCTTGGGCTTGCAGTAAATTGGGCCTGGCAGTTGGAGGATATTTGTGACGGTTGAGAGTAATTTATGTTGAATTTGTGTCTAACGACTTCTCAGCACAAAAGGTGGTGGTTTTTTTTTTTTTTTTTTTTTTTTTTTCTTGTTTTTAACACACTGGTTAAAAAAAAAAAAAAAGGCAAAAACCTTCACTTACTGATGTTTTACAGGATGAACATCCAGTCATGAACAAGTTGTAGTAAGATACACAGATACACATCACAGTTGTTCTAAGGAATATAATTTTCTTGAAGGAATTTTTCCGTACAATAAAATCCCTTCAGGCAAGACTTACAAGCTCATTTTATAGTTACATTCTTCAGATTGTCAACATGGGGAGAATATCCTGCCTGTAAGACTTTAGCGCAGAACAAACAAAGGGTGATTTTTATTTGTTCATGCAATTTGTTAGGCTGCTATATGGAAATCAATCAGTTATTTATAGGATGCTCTAAAGCCTACCTTTCATAGCACTAACAGCAGAGATAGCAACATGGAAGGTGCTGGCAGAGTGATGCTGGAGAAGGCATTCTGGGGGGGAAGAAAAGCAAAACCTGACTTTTACATCTTAAAAAAATCAGCATGTGATTTGTCATAGTGTTTTCTTGTGGTACTGCCAAAAAAAGAACATCTTAAATCAGGACAACTGAAGAACACATGCTCTATGCTTTTTTTTTTTTTTTTTAATATGCTAACAACTGAAAATAGTATGTCTTTACAAACCACAGACAAAAAATGGAGTTTAATTCTGCTGGCAACTGATCATCAATGGTATTCATCAGGGGTCAGATCCTGATCTGGATGAGGGGACTGAGTGCACCCTCAGTAAGTTTGCAGATGACAAAGTTGGGAGGAGGCGTTGATCCACCTGAGGGTAGGAAACACTCCACAGAGGAATCCGGACTCCTCTGAGTTGATGGACTGAGGCCAGCTCTAAAGGTTCAATAAGACCATATTCCTACACAACAACCTCACGCATCACTACAGGCTCAGAGCAGAGTGGCTGGAAAACTGCAGAGGGAAAGGCTCTAAGGGGTATTAACAGCTGTCTAACCATGAGCCAGCAGTACACTCAAGAAGGCCAACACCATCCTGGCTTGTATCAGAAACAGTGCAGTCAGCAGACCAAGGAGATGATCGTGCCCCTTGGCACAGGTGAGGCTGCACCTCAAGCACTACATTCAGTTTTGCACCCCTCATTACAAGAAAGACACGGAGGCCCCGGAGAAAGGCCATGACGGGCCTGGAGCACATCTTATGGGGAGCAGCTGAGGGAATTGCTGAGACAGAAGAGGCTCAGGGGAGACCTTAGTGCTCTGTACAACTAGTTGAAAGGGGGTTGTGGTGAAGGAAGTGCTGGCCTCTTCTCCCAAGTAAATGCAATAGGACAAGAGGTAATGGCCTTGAGTTTTGCCCAAGGAGGATCAGTTTGGATTTTAAGAAAGATTTCTTCTCAGAAAGAGCGGTAATTCATAGGAACAAGCTGCCCAGGGAAGTGGTGGAGTTGCTGTCTCTAGAGGCATTAAGAAACTAGGAAATGTGACATGGTTGAATGGGCATAGGTCAATGGCTGGATGATATGACATGATGGCAGGGGGGTTGGTCTCAATGACCTCTAGAGGTCCCTTCCAACCCCTACAATTCTGGGATTCTAGAGGTATTTTCCACCCTTAGTGATTCTATGATTCATCTAGTAAATTTGCACACCAATTTATTCAGAACAGACTGTGATTGAAGTTCCCCCTTCCTGTACCTGAGAATACCAATAGCCTGACAAAAAGCCCTTTCAAAAAGAATGTTTGTAGCAGCACATGCAATTTGGCTGAGCAAATAGCTTTTTAAAATAAAACAAATGCTCACATACAGCTACTTCAACACCAATTTACTTTGCATTATAATTACCCATGAAGATAGCTTGTTGTATTTCAGTCAGGCATCCAATTTGCTTCAAATATCCACCAGTACATGAGTGTAGCCAGCAGTTTCCTTTGAGCAAAATTTTCTAAGGATATCTGCCTTCCCAGCTATGCTTAGTGAACAAATCTCCCCAAACCCTACAAGGAAAATTCTTTCAGGACACAAAGCTTTGGTTTACCGAACTTTTAAAATTTTTCTGGTTTTATTTATTAGTCTTAAATTCAATTCAGCAGTAACCACAGTGATGGATAGGAGGAAGAGAACTGTGCGAGAGTGGTTCTGTCACCTGCCATCATTCTGTTTTTCTTTTAACTGTTGTTTTCTTTCCTGAAGGGAAAAGCGCTAAATCTAGCGCTGAGTTTAGCCAGCAGCACTTAAGTTTGCAACAACTCCCAATAATATTCTAACTGCAGTTTCCCTTTTATCTACTGATACAACATGGCAGTGTTTGACACCTTTTTAGACTTGAAAAGACTTTATCTTGTCTCAAGTAGCAGCTGCCATTAGTCTCTTTCACCCCATCTCTCCAGTTTCTTTGTTATATAGTAGCATACAGCCAAGCCCATGCTAATCCTCAAAATTCAGTTTAGATACCTCATTCTCAAATTAGAAAATATTTCTGTCAAGTGCATATTGATTTCATTGATCAATTCTGTTAAGATAAACACAATGATTTTGAACAAAATTCTTGTTAGCAGCATTTGAGAACATACTCGAGTACGTCAGTAATACACCCCAATGAAAACAAGTAAAAGCAATTGCAGCTCAGTAGTGGGCTATACAGAAAATAAGGATTTCTTGGATCATTTTCCACGATATATACGTACATATATAAATATATCTATTTGTCTCTTTAAATATTTTATATATATAAGATACATATATATATATATATATATATATATATATTATATACATATATATTTTCCCCTACGTGTACATTCCCTGTATCAGTACTTTATGACTTTCTGGTTGATTTCCCCATGGAACTGAAATAGAATCACACGAAGACCCCTAAACATTCCCCCTCGTTAACATATGTTATATAAGTGTTCTATGTTAAAGCAGATGTACAATATTGCTTTTAAAATGGAAATAATGGTTTTTATACTGCTAAGACAGAACCTAAATTTCTGGTCCGTGTTACTCCAGGTATCAACTAAGAGTGACACCCTCATCAGGAGTGATACACCTGATACAGCTTAGGGAGTGCTTTCATAGGAAATCTTTCAGAGAAGTATTTAAAGAATGCATCTTACCTGCTCCATCTTCACAGCAGACATAGTTTTATTGCTTTGTATGAAGCATCCTGATACAGATTGTTTTGGCTGACCAGGATGGATAAATGAAAACATATTCAGTGGTAACAGGGAGATGTGTTACATTCACTTGCAACCAGTTCAGCATAATCTTTTAGGAATATTTTCTGCAGACGTTATCTGTTACACTGATTCAATATGTTTAAACATTTTCTTCACAAATGTGAGAGCCTGCAAAGCAGTCAGCATTGACACTTAGAACAGCTCCAAGGTAGAGAAATTGGCCCTAATCCTCACATTGAGTAAATTACGATAAGGTGAGAACTCCAAATGCATTTAAACTGTGATCTCCCCTCTGCAGAGAATCGCAAACCTGATGATACCCCCAAGGATAAATGTTCCCATGTTGATTTGCTGCAGTGAGCAGAAATAGTGTGAGAGGTGGTATCCTATGCAGTTATTTTCAAATCTATCCCACTGCAGTTCTTACAAGATCATGAGTGCACCTCATTTCTGACTTCCACAATCCATAAAATACAAATTTGTTGTTAATTATGGCACAGTATTTTTGGAAAATCCTTCAGTAAGGCAGTCTTTCCAGAAATCTGAAAAGCAACAACAACAAAAAACTCCTCCAAAAATATAGCTTACCACCAGCTTTAAACAAAAATCTAGAGCACAGAAATTTACAAAATATGGGTAAAAATTTAAGATCCTTCCAGTAAGTACAGTGCTAATATTTTATTCCTGAAAATTCAAGCTGCTGATCAGAACCTTCAGTATTCAAAAATCAGCAGCAAGAAAGAAACAGGATCAAACAAATGTGTTTTTCCGCGCGCGCACACACACACAGTCTGTCCACAATCGACTGGAACATCTGGAATCTCCCCCTTTCTTATTTGCAGGTGACTGCTACTCTGATTCTCCATAGCATTTCTGTTCTTTCAGCTATATGCTCACATCATCCGGGTGGTGAGCCTCCAGAAGACGTTTCCAATAGTTTTGGAAGTTTTGCTCATCTATATAACTCATTTTTCATTTAGAAAATTTACTACAGATCAGCTTCTGCTACTTGCCAGAGGCCAAACTAAGAAGTTACCAATTCTACTAACTACAGATTATATTATCTATTTCTTTAAACACAGCTAGAGTTTTGCTTCTTAACTTCTAAGGTTTCTGCCTTCGTAAGAAATAATTGACTTTTTCATTAGTGCATGAATAATATAAACCAAGGAGAATATAAACCCTGCATTTAAGATGGGCCTTCATTCTGGCCAGAACAAAGAAAAATTATGAATTAAGTACAGGTAAGGAAGAATTTTCTAATAAGCTTGAGAAGACAGTTTTTTTTGTTTATGATCAGTTTGCCTGACTATTAAGAGGAAAGAAAAAACACCTTCAAAAATCAATTGCATTTAAGTTCTCGCTGTAAGATCAAATGTTTACAGTACATGATACTCTTCAGAGAGCCTGCAATGCTGTTATCATATTTTGATTTTCTGTATTTAACCTTTCTGTTCATATACATGAACATTAGATGAAATTGCATACCACATGTAAATTAAAAATGCAATAGCTTAGAAACATGTGGTTAAAGCTGCCATCAAATTTTCTTTAATAGCAGAAGTGACAGCCACAAAACCAGAATATTCTTATATGGCTTATTCATTTGGAAGGTGCAAACATTCAAAGAGGTTTATTATAGGGCACAGCACATTATAAATTTAGCTATGCTCAAACATACACCGCAGCATGTCTCCAGATGACCTGATAGAGACAATCAACATATCCAGCTGATTTGCCTTATTGAACACATCCAATAACAGGCATTTTTTACTAAGTCTGTTTGTATAAGCAGAAGGACTAATAGCCTTAACAACCTGGCAGGGAAAAAAAGACTTCATAATTCAAAAGTACCAATCCAGCTCCCTTGTATACCAGAGTCTGTTGTTTACTCATTCAGAACATAACCAAGCCCATAATATCTGATTTAGTACCTTTGTCATCATTTTAGTTTCAAACTTCAGCACCAGTATGAAGTATTTCACAACACTTCTTATTCATCATGAATGTTTGCACTCCAGTCGACATAGCACAGGAGAAACTAAAGAGCTCTGTAAGAAGCGAAGTTTCAGAGTTAATTGTTACCGTAATTATTTTTATGAGCAACCTAATTACTTTTGAGTCTTCTTTTTAGTCTTTCAGACAGGGGAAGGGGACTGTCTGCCCACGAAGAAATCAGAACATCACTGTCAACTTGTTCAGGACAGGAACCTGTGCCCTGAAACAGTTGTTCTGAACTCTGGAAACAATCAATTTCAACTACAGAGGAATTTTTTGGAGATACTTCCAATGACAAATTCCCACCAACTTGCTTAAAATTGGTGGTTTTCTCCATCCCTTTAATTACAAGTGCTGAGTCACTGCTGGTACTTTTGCCACTAGCAGTGTTATACCTTTTCTTCGTAAAAGTTTTTTTTAACTGGCCAGGGTTCAGTTGCCTTTTCTTCTGCTTACATATTGGATTTTTATTCATGTTCCCATCATCACTGTCCTCGCTAGAAGAGCATTTGCTCTGACACACACTCTTGAAAGAAGTTTTCCAAGCAGTCTGAGTACAAGTTTTTGTTATGTTATGGACAGGAACAACATTTGCTGGCAAAGGAAGAGGCAGCGGAAGCACTTCACACACAGTATGCAACGGCTCTGTTGTTTGCCTGCTGGGGACTCGAGATGTTGAACAGCTCATAATACAGTCTTTCTGCATCATTTCATGCTGGGTGTCGTTTTCTTTAGAAACAGGTGCACTGGATTCACTTGCACAGGTTTCTGGGAACACGTTTTTAGTGTCTCGTGCTAGTTTATTTAACTGACACGAGGAAGAGAAATAATCTTTATCAAGTTTCAATGCTGCTTCTGTGTGCTTAAAATGTTTGAAAGACTCCTGCTGCATTACATCTTCTGACAGCACAGACTTTGATGGAGCAGAAGTCTTCTTAAGTATACGCTCACTTAAAGACAACTTCTGAAGTTGTTCCATGTGGCCATCCCAAAGCAAATCATCTGCACTATCAGAATGATCTGGATCTGACTGTGCAGCACCAGAATACTGCAAGCTATTTTTCACTGTTCCGTGATGCAGTGGATATGAATGTTTTATGCATGCAGCCAAATCAGGTGCTGGATCACAGGTATTACACCCATGGGTTGGTGAAGTGCTGAAGAAAGTTCCTTTCCCATCAATGCTGCTCAGTTGTAGATCAGCCCTTACAGAGGATGACACTCCCGAGTTCTTAGTAAATTGTGCTGGCACTACAGATGAGTCAGTCAATGTATTCTTTAAGTGCAAGAAAGGTGATGCTGTCTGAGAAAGTCCAACTGATTCTGACATTTGAACAGATGTTACACAAGAAGCTGCAGCTATCTCTGGATCTTCTGATTCCGTGCTTCTCTGGCATATCTGATACTCAGGTGGAGTTTTTCCATCAGATGTGTGGTCTGGCACAGGAACAACTTCACACGCAGACTTGAAATTCATTTGAGACAGAAAATTGGTAACTTCACTATAAGCATCTGATAACTCCTTTTCTTTTGGTCTATTTTTCTTGTCTGAAAGAAAAAAAAAAAAAGCATACAAACATTGTACTTCTCCCGCCATTGAGCAATATTTACTTTTGTTTCTTGTACTTTGGTAAGGCCCCTAAGACAAAAATTTTTGGACTTACTTTTCTGTTTCTTTGCCAGAACTTCTGACTTTTCCATTTGGTAAAGAGCAACAACATCTGGATAAGCAGCCTGAAACAAAGGCTGCTCTTCTATTGTAACTACATACAACTCCACAGGCTCATCTTCTGCATCAACATAGTGTTCTATCAAAATTAATGAGTTTATATTAGAAATATATATACAAATATTTCAGAGGATGGAATGAGAAAAAAGTATTTGAGCGTAAGGAAGATATGTAAAGAGACAAATAGCACAAGGTTTGAGGCCTAGCTATGGCACAGCTGTTTGCTTTCTGACAAGCTCCCATGTCATATAGACACACTGAGGACTGAAGTCTGTCATCATGAAACAAGACATAACATGACATGAAAAAGAGTCCAGATCTTATTAACCAGAAAAAATAATTGGAAACCAAGCCTCTTGCTTTCTGGATAAGTGGTTAAAATGGTTGTTTTTTCATTTGTTTGTTTGGGGGAAGGTGTTATTTGTGTGGTTTTGTCTTAATTTTTAGCATTGCTCTTGGTTTCAGGGTATCTGAAATGTGACATTTTCTTTCACAGTACTGTTTTCCCAATCTTATTCATACATCTCTTATCATAATGCTATCAAACTATTTTCCTCTTTAAGGAATGCTTTTTTCTATGAATTAGACTGTTCAATAATTAGGACAGAAACAATTCCAACCTGGTTTTTCCCACTCAATTTCAAAACAGGGAACTCCATTTTTAACACGTGTCTTGACTATTCTGCAAGAAAAGAAAGTAACACATTAGATGATTTTGTCTGAACAAGAAACGAGGAATCTAAGGGAGAATCTAAGATACCTAAAAATATTTCACTATTTTAATTTATGATGATTCAGAACAGAAGAAAATAATGTCTGTAGCAGTGAACTTAGCACAGCATTATAAAAATATGCTTTTTTTTTTTCTTTTAAATGCACAAGTTGTATACTACAATTTTGGCTCTAGATATTGAACAGTGATTATTCATTTAAGAGAAATGACGCTGCTCCAAGTAGCATAACTGGAAATCAGAACTGTTCTGAACATATAACTCTAATGCAAACTTCCACAAACATCAGTTTGTTATCTTCAACTATACCACAACTGTTGCCACAGACAGTAATTTGAACAGATGTTACTGTTCACATCTTTTGCATAAAAGCATGAAGTAAGATAGTAAACAGGGCTGTCATTAAGACAGAATGTGAACTGAACAAGGGCAGTCAAAGTTCCTACATGTGAAGAGGTTGGTGCTTTCTCATTACTATGTTTTTAAATGACTGAAAAGAAAATAAGATCAAGATCTGACTTTTAAACTCTTGAAACACTAGACAGAAACATAAACAGAACATACCTATTTTTTCATTCAAAGCAAAATATCAGTAACTTGCCTAATCAAATCATTAAAAAGCAGCCTCCAAACACCACACTCAATCCAGTCACTCTTCTGTAAGATAATGCTAAACAAAACAGCTTCTTTACAAGGCACACTTTAATAGACTATCAACCCATCAACCCAAAAGAGATGATGCCATACTGACATTGACTGCTTTTTGTTTCCAAAAATTAAGGTCTATAGAGAACTGCACAGCACCAAGAAATGGAATGACAAATAAACCTTACAACAGAAGAAAGTAGATCCCACCAAAGCAACCTCTCAGGAAGTTAAATAATTTCTTTCACACTGTGAAGTTAAGCTTAGCTACCTTTTGCCAACAGACACTGTAGGTTCTTAAAGTTTACATAGGCTTAACAAAATATTAGATCATTTAAAAGATCCACCGAGGGCTGACAGATCAAAATGATACCAACTCTGGCCCAGAGAATTCCTGAGTAATGGAAACTGGATGCTGGGAAAATACTGAGATGAAAATTGTTACTTGCATCACATTGTTTTTCCTGCTATCCATTTTAAGTACCCAGGATCCACGGCCATGTCAGTAATGACAAAGGACTGAATTTTTTTGAGAGAAGGGGTAGCAGAAACAAAATGGAAGGCAATAATTTCACTAGACACAACTGAGTATGCAGATGTTTATTTGTAAGTCCATGCTTGTATCTTTTAATCACTGAAGTCAATTAAAATTGACTAAGTATCTGAGAAGTAATCCCTTAAAAGGTAAACCTCATGTGCACAGACCCAAAGAAATAGAATGGAATAGTAAGCATAGAAGAAAGCAGGCTCTGTTGGAACATAAGAAAACTACTGTATGCACAACTTTGTGCAGCAGCAACATATATAATAATATGTTCATTTAAATTTTTAATTCTGTTCAAAATGAGCACATGGCTTGAATCAGAGAGGAAAGAAAATAATTACATTTTTGTAAAAAAAAATAAATTAATTAAAAATTCCTCCAGCAGCAGAAGTAAAATATTAGGTTGAAGAACACTTGCTGCCTTACCGAATTGCCTGCAGTTGCTTTGAATCAATGTATCCAGATTTTCTCTGGATCATATCATAACGTGTCAGCAGCACTAATAGCTTTTTACAAGCATAATGCTTTGTCCATTCCATCTTCTCAGAAGCAAATATCTGTTAGTGTAAAGCAAACAAAAAAAACCTATGCTTTAAAACTTGCTTACTCTGTTAGATATCACACTTCAACAGCTGTAGAGTAGAAACACAGAACTAGATGCTTTAAACATGTAAGTTAAAGAAACACCAAACAATATCTCACTACCAAGTGGAGGAACACTCATCTCTGTAAATGAACAGATCTACCTGCTGCCAGTAACAAATTGAAGGAACAGTGATGTGAAAGAAAAGTCACGTTCCAGATGGCCATGCAGAGCTGTCACACTGTGTGACAAGCTAGGGCTACTAGTCAGAGCTAAAATGGCAGTCCATGGGGTGGTGACACGTGAATTCCCACTAAGAAAAAGTTCAGGATGGAGCCCTCATTGGGTAACTGATGTGATCTTTTGGGATAGGAAAGCAACGACACTTCTAGATTTCCTGCAACCCAGACAAAGCATCAACTCTGACTGCTACATCATGATGTTGACTAAGCTGAAGGCTCCAACTTCCACAGCCAGGCCAGAGAAGACGACAACACAATAAAGCCAGGTCCATACCAGTTTAAAGATCATGGAACTCTTTGCCAGTCTTGGCTGGACTGTCCAGATTTGGCACCTTCTGACTGCCATCTGTTTAGGCCAATCAAAGACAGACTGCATGGGCAGGATGCTGCCATTGCAGATGTGAAACAGTGGGCCACCTCTGCTGGTGCAGATTTTTTACTAATGCAGCATGCAGGTTCTTGCTAATTGGTGGTGAAAATAAATAGCTAATAGTGATGATTATGCTAAAAAAAAAGTTCTTTGTAGCAAAAAATTTGCTCTATCAAACCATGGCATTGTGCTCTTTGTAGCTGGTGCAGTTTGCATGAAAGCAAGCAGCAGGCATTACTTTTGGAGCAAACCCTGTATGTCACTTCTGAGTTTTGAGCACTTGGAATCGAAGTGCCTCTGTATCTGGAAGGTGGTAAGATTGTGCTAAATACAGGCCTGCCATTTTCTGGGGGAAAATATGCATAATTCAGAATAAATGTTTCTGCTTGTTATGTATAGAAGCTGGCTGCCTCAGTGATACCAATAAATTATTATTATTATTAAAAAAAAAAAAAAAAAAAAAAAAAGAAGAAACAACCAAAAACCTCAAAGCCTGCAAACGTAACTTAAGTTACCACATATGTATACTGGTAAGAGGACAAGGCAAACATGAGTAAAAACCAAGAGCCACACCTGTTAAAACCTTTACGAAAGGTGGGACAAAGATAACATTCCTGAAGCATTATGCCTCATAAACACACCGTATTTTATACACTAGAGATGATCCAATGCTCAGCAATCCACTCCAGTAATGCTAGACAATGAAAAATGAAACAACGGGAAGTGACCTTTTTTCCAAGTTACTATACTTGAGCTCTTCTAAATGCCTGTTTACATCAACTAATTTTTCACAATTGCCAATTTTTGATTTTCAAAAAGAATGCGGCGCATTAAAGGCTGTGACAAGGTACTTTCATTATATTTCCTGTAGAATTACCAACGGGGGGGGAAAACCACAGATGACTTCCCTAAGGGAAATAATAAGAAAATGCATAGAGCTGAATATTCAATGTTTTCACATGTACCTGAAATGACAATAAATTCGGCCTTTTGCATTCCATTATCTTGTTCAGTTTATTCTTGTTTACAAGAAATTCTTGGATAACCTTGAGATAAAAAACAGAAAAGAGGCAGTTGAAGAAAGGGCAGAAAACCTGAAATTTCAATTAATTGATTTGGAAAATTAATCTTTAACTAGGCTTCTTACCTCAGCGAATGGAAAGCCTTCACAACTTTTAGCTTTTCTGCAGGTAAAAGAAATGTGTTAGAAACTGAATAACAAATAGGAAAAATACACATTTTAAATGCTCACTCTGCACATGAAGGGGAAAGCAGTTTCTTTTCAAAACATTCCTACTTTCTGATATTGTCCTCCACTGCACTTGCTTGTTTCACTTGCTCTAACTGATGCCATTCGCAAGGGCAGCAGTATTTGGAGTCACTGGGTTTGCAGTATCTAGTGCTTTCACAGAATTTACATCCACTGCGCTCATGTTCCTTGTATGATCCTATAGAAGATGCACAAATCACGATGAGAAAGGAGGTTTTAGAAACCCCCAAAAACAATATTAGCAATAAAAAAAATAAAGGTCAGAACACAAATGAATAACAGCTGTAAGCATATCTGAGTATATTAGCTATATAACTTCCAATAAAAACTGACAAATATAATGTGTTATTTTTTAAAAACTATTTTCTTAAGACTGTCCCTAACTGTTTCAGACCTTGTGCTGAGGAATTTACCATAAATGAATGCTGCAGAAGTAGCATGGGACATTTTGACAAAATAAGTAAAGAAGACATAAAACAAGCTTCTTCCCCCTTCTCATTACCATCCAAAGCAATACCTTTAAATGAGTTCACTGAAGAAACTACAAAAACAAGGTTAGGACTAATTTATTTTGAAGAAAAAGCTACAACAAAATCCAGCAATGGCAGTGGGTTCAGTCCTCATGCAGAGCCATTTTAGGGAGGAGAAAAAGGAAGTTGCTTGCCATTACAGAGTGCTGTTTTTAGTGACACTGCTAAAAAGGTAAATATCTGGGATCACACAAATGCACTGTATTAACATTCTGCTATCAACTGGTTTCACACTTCAGAAACGTCACTTGCACCCTCAAAAAGTCTCCATACAGATACACAGTGCAGAAAATGTGCAGTCAGAAGCTGAATGACAAGAAAAGCATTTTGTAATGCTAGTCACAAAAATTCAACCAGCCAATGACCCCAACATCCAGAATCAAGAGCAAACAAATGATTAAGCTAAAAATAAAATTCTACACTTTCAACACTGACCTGGATGATGGCAGTCAGAACAGTGCGCTACTCTTTTAACAACCAAAGGTGGATTATTATCATGCTCAGATTGTTCTTTCCATTGCTCAAACCTATCGGGGTGATATTTAAAGGATTAAGAAATACTTTATACTTTCATACTTAAAATCAAACACCCAAGTAGGCCTTTGCACTTCTCAAGTATTTGCTCAAGAAGTATTTCTTAAGTTAAGAAACTAGATTATTTGTTTTGCAAGTATATCCGTGGTGGATTATGAATATTGACATGCACATTAAGATAACAAACACAGAAAGCATTTAGAACCTCATGTCCTAATCCCAAACCAGTTAAAAAATAAGAATTATCAGTCCTTGTGACTTCTATTCCAATGCAACAACATACTCTAAAGCTGGGTGTCAGCTAATATTTAAAACAATCCACAAGTTCACAAAGCACACCATGCAATTCATTTAGGCAAACAACAATGCAGCCACTTGACTCTCAAAAAAAAAAAAAAAAAAATTAAAAAATATTACTAGCATTGTGTTGGAGCTGAAGCCCATACCAGAAAGTATGTGAACTAAAAGTACTTCAGCATACGGGGTAAACTTTCACTTTACCTTTGCAGTAAATTTTGACCTCTCAAAGTCTCAATTAATTTTAAAGCTTGTTCTTTTCCAACTCCTGGAACACCCTATAGAGACAGAAATATGAAACATTAAGAAATGGTCACATGCAGTACACACATCTTTACTGCCTTTCTAACATTATGAAATGTTAGAAATAACAGAAATAACAGACTAACAAAAAACAATCCCAAGGCAGTGAGCTAAACTGAGAAAAATATATATATTTTTTACAAAATTATGAATAGAAATGGCAAAAGACTGGAGCTACGCAATCAGCGTGACACACAAGATGCACAGAACAGCCTTACCCTCAATAGCAACTCAGAGTAAGTCACATGTTTTCCTGTTTCCTACTGTCTTTTTCCTGCATTTTCCAACCCCATTCTTACTCTTTTTCTCCCTCCTATCTGAAACTGGACTCTACGTTTTTGCCAGCTATGTGCCAGCCAGCCAGCCGAAACTCTTCATAATAGTTTTGGAAGACAAAGACTCTCTATCTGAAGTCAAAATGCTGGAAACTCGAGGAGAAAAACAAACAAACAAACAAAAAAACAACGACAACAGCAAAAAGCTTTCAATCACAGGAGAAAAAGCAGCTTTATGGCAAGGAAACTTCTAATCACAGAATCACAGAATTGTAGGGGTTGGAAGGGACCTCCAATACTTGAGTTTTCTAGCTGATAGGTGATTTACAGTGAATAGTGCAGAAGCATTTTCTGAAAGTTAATTAAAAATCTCAAGCCTTATATAATTCTCCTCTTTCCTTGTTTGATTTTGATATTTACTACATTATTACATTTGCAGTACACATGCCCTATATGGGAAAACAGACTACCACTAGGGGTAATGGATGGAAACAGTAACAATGTTCAGGAGTTGCTCAAGGACAGAAATCCAGGACTTCACTGTAACTCTTAAATTCACTGAAGAGCAGCAGACAGTTGATTAAAAACAACCAGAACAATTTAAATGTATGTGCTGCTTTTCAGTTCCTCGTTCAATTCTTACACCCATTATTTTACTAAGAATCAGTGCAGTTGAACACATATACCATACTGAGTGTCCTTCCTACAGCACTGCTACAAGTTTCATTCAGACATAATGATTGAATAGAACATATGCAACTGCATGAAATAAATCAATTTTCAAAACCAATTAGAAGTAGTCACTGGACTACAGCCAGACACTTGAGCAGACGATCAGGTACTCAGCTTCTGCAAGGAAAGCAGCATTTTTGTGTGTAATGAACAAAGCAAGTGCAGTTATATTCAGGTAAGTGATGAGGTAAGTATTCTCACTTACCTGATCTGCCAATCCCCACACCTGCTGCACTCCTGCAGTTCAGCTTTCCTTAGAAGTTCGTACAATTGTTTGCTTTGCTGGGCTGCAGCAACTCAAGACTGGCCTGGTGCTACATAACTGTGCCACTTTAGGACTATGCAAGAACTCAGCATACCAGCAGCTGCTACGTGCATTACAGAAACTACTGATAAGCCACTATTTTCAGCCCCTCCCCTCCTCACTAGAGTTTCTTTTGTGATAATGAAGTGTTTACAGATTACTACAGCAGAAGCAAGTCTCTCGTTAAAGAAAAAAAGAGGAAAGAATTAGAGTGATGCACTCTACCTGCTGCTTAAAAGGACAGATTTATTAAATTGAAACACCATGATTTAAGAGTTAACTTAGACAACCAAAATGGGAGCATTATTGTCTGTGGTCACCGTATGATGGACTGCACAGAAATAAAGTTTCATCCCCTTTCCTTTCCATTCCAAAACTGTTCAAAGCCTCAACGACAACAATCCAAGAGCTTTCAAGGAGGAAAAAAAAAAAAAAAAAAAAAAAAAAAAAAAAAAAAAAGAGACTTTTATTTAGTAATGAATTAAGTAAGTTCTAAGCTCTATCCAGAACGAGCGTTACTACTAACTGCAGTTCAAACAATGACTAGCTATCCCAAAGGACACAGTGTTTTTTCTCATTTTCCTCAGCTACTATGTCAGGGTTGTACTATAAGTGCTAACGGGCAGTTCTCATGTTTGCTCAGTATCATTAAACTGAACTTTCACACAATGGAGATGAAGACTGAAGTCAGGATGAACACATCCAATTTAGAAAGATTAATGCTCCACTTTGATCACCTTAAACTATCACAAAAAATTATGACTTATTAAGCATCCACAGATCTCAGCAATCATGTACTGCACACAGTTCTGTTAGCATGTGAAGTCTTCCTTGATATGCTGTAAGTGATTGCTTACCTTTGGAAGATAATCACAACCCAGAAGAACAGCTAGTCCAACCAAAGACTCTCTGTCACAACCAAGCTTCTCCTTAATAGAGGACATTGTGTAGCAATCAAGATGTGATTCCTGAAAAAGACATTTATCATTTATTCCATTTCTGTGACACCAGGGAAGGAACTGCCATGTCTGCAGTTCTACCCTACAACAGGTCTACCCTACAAAATACAGAAGAGTCTGACGGATAAATCCTATAAAGCAGCAATTAAAGTTTATAATGTAGCACATGGACGCCATGAGAATAACAGCACTTCTAGAATTTCAAGCTGCAAGCATGGATACCAACTATTTAAAAACTACCTTTTAGATAAGAAATACCAACCCAATCTCCTTTTTCCTCCACTTTCTTTGTAGGTTTATCAGGCAAAACACATTAAATCTTTTCTCTGATTTACAGAGAAAGTGTCAACTAATAAAATTTGGTTCTGCCAGTTTTAGAAAAACACACTCTTAATAAACATTTTCAGCTCAAGGTCATAAATTGTTTTTTACTGAATGATCACAACAGCCTGTTAGTTACAATACAGATGCATAACCTCTCTCCTATTCATCATTTAAGACTAAGAGCATTAACAGTAAATATATTTGTAATGAGTAAACCAAACATGTACAATGCACGCACACAGACCAGCCAGGAGGCTGACCACTCTACATACTCCAAATGGGAATTTATAGGAAGCAGTTTCACTAAAATTCTCCACTGCAGAAGGAAAAAAAAACATTGCTTATCTTTATTGCACACCACGGAACACCACAAACAGAGATGACAGTACTCTAAGTGATCTTCAGTTGTTCTGTTCTTAAACCCACTGCATGGATGTCCAAAATGTTCCTATCTTAAAGAACAGTAATAACCAACACAAACTAGTAGATAAGCATGATATCCAAGCAATTGCTTCGAGGGCCTCCTTTTAATTTCCATTTACATTTTTGGGATGACTCTGACGAGCCGGTAAGATCCCCTTCTGATCCTACTGATGTACGTTACCTTAGAGGTCATGGCAAAGTTCCTATAAACTGTTTGAGCTCCATATAAGAAAACATCTCCATCATTGGTAATGCACCCGTCAACACTGCCTTTTGCATTCAGGTAAGCACACATTGCTTCTGCTTCCCCAGCTGCTTGAACCCATGGGACACCTAAACACTCCAGCAGCTGGAGGCACTAAGTAAAAGAATCCAAAAGAAAATGTACATTGAATGTTAGATTATATCCACTTATTAGCATGTATTTTCTCAGTTTATATGTCCACTCTGAAAGAGTATATATAAAACATATCACTGCAATTGCTTTACAAAAGTATCTTACTGCAACAGTCAAAAGAAATACTCAACTAAGACCATTAATTATGGATTAATACATTATACATTAATTACACAACATAATTAACACTTACTCCTTCAAATCTGACTACTCAGCAGTCTGTGCTGGTCCTAGATAAGGGACAAACTTCAGACTGCCCCAAAATATCAAGCACAAAACACAGTACTGTTGGCCCAACTAATACTGGACCACAATTAGAGACATACTGAGATACATACAAACACATACTTTCTACAAGTTTGAGAACAGAACGTGAATACATTCAGCTACTGAAACCATGAGTCTACATACTTTATTTCACAAAACTGATTACACAAGAATGGCAAAACACCTGCGATAATGAATTAAAATGAAAATTACTGAACAGAAGTTCTTTGCAGACAAAGCTTCTCAGGTAATGCAACAGATTTCCAACAATACACCAAATAACAAGGAAGCTGCATTTCTGTAATAAGCACTCAGTTCCACGTGTGGCTCACTGCAGCATAAAACACAGAGATGCATCAAACAAGAAAACTGCTCTGATACTGCCACCCTACTGCAATAATCAACTGATGGAAAACACAACTGCAAGAGGCATGCTCCCTCTAATTCCAAACACTGTTGAAATTTGTTCTGCAGAAAACTACTAATTCTTTTGAGTTCATCTTCAAACTGTTAAAGGTTTCTATCACGTTTAAAAAAAAAGTGCCAAGACACCCCAGTTACTCACCTCTTTCAAAATAGATTTAAAAAGAGATCTCCCTGTTCTTGCAGCCCCATGTTTGTTGGAAGCTCCGTATCGCATCTCATTTCTCTTACTCATGGTGTCTGCCTTCAGCTTGGGGGCCTCGCCTTCCATGACAAACACCAATTTAATCCCCATTGACGTGAAAAAAGAATACCGAAAAAACAGGTTTCTGCAATAAAGTAAGGTGTTCCAGACTTAAGGAAAACATCTAAAGAAATCAGGTTTCCTTACATCCCTCAGTCTACTCCAGGGACAGTCACACAATGATACAACACCTTAGGTTGGAAGGGTCCTCAAAGATCACCTAGTTCTAACCCCTTGCTGTGGGCAGGGTTTCCAACCTCTAGATCAGGCTGCCCAGGATCCCAACCAAAGCCTTCAGAGACGGAGCATTCAGAACATCTCTAGGCAACCTATTCCATCACCTTGCTACCCTCTGAGTAATAAACTTCTTCCTAAGATCCAACAAAAATCTCCCCTCTTTTAGTTCAAAAAAACCATTTCCCCTTATCCTATCACTATGAGACCATGTAAAAATTCTCATAAGCTCTTGTAAGCTCCCTTTGAGTACTGGAAGGCCACAATGAAATCTTCCCAGAGCATTGTCTTCTCCAAGATGAACAAGCCCAGTTCCCTCAACCTTTCTTCATAGGAGAGGTGCTCCAGCCTTTTGATCATCTTCATGACCCTCCTCTGCACCCTCTCCAACAGCTCCATATCCTTTCTGCACTGGGGGCCCCAGGCCTGGATGCAACACTCCAGATGGGGCCTCACAAGGGCAGAGTAAAGGGAGACAATTACCTCTCCCTGCCCCTGCTGGCCACCCCTGTTAATGGAGCCCAGGATACTGTTGGTCTTCTGCGCTGCACAAGCAGACAGCTGGCTTACGTTCAGCTTTTTGTCCATCACGACCTCCAAGTCCTTCCCTGCAGGGCTGCTCTCAATGAGTTCTACTAATTCTCTACTCTTACCAGAGACCGTCTCGACTCAAGCGCAACACCTTGCACTTGGCCTTGTTAAACCTCATTAGATTCTTGTGTCTAAGAATTTAGCTCAATCTTGGCTTGCTCTTCTTCTCCCATGATTTCCTTATTCCCAGGCTATAAAACTGTTATTTATTTTCTTGTCTTTACTTGAGGTTGTTTCACTACCAACTTGTAACAGCATTACAAGATTTCCAAGCAAATCCTCCTAAAAATACTCTTTGTCTTTACATTCTAAGAACCTGAAAAAATTTTAAAAGCCACATAAAATGCACTCTTCAAAATCTGCTTCCAAGTACATCTGCATTGATTGTTTCGTACCATTAAGCCCAAGTCTATCATGCTGGTATATCTGATGTAAATGACTAATACTGTTGTTACACAGATGCATAGATACCATTATTACACCAACTTATTTCATATGGAAATACAAAATTCTTCCCACCATTGATGTCCAAGACAGCAATAATTACCTGGTCTACAATAGCTATATTCAGAATAATCACACAGTATATGCCCTTCCCTATAATTCCTGGGTTAATCTTTCAAACAAGAGCAAGCTAACATTTATAACACTTCAATTGACACGGAAAGACCATTACTTGAGATTTAACTCCGTATAGTTGTTATGGGTAAAAGAGGATAAGCTGATCTCTTGAGGCAAGTTCTATTTTTACAACATATATACATATATATAAATCCAATTAAATAGTAGTTTCTCTAGAATACTTAGCAAAATAAGTTACTCTCCATCTACCTGAAATGGTATCTTTTTTTTTTTTGGTAGAAATCCATCCATCCCTCCATTTCACTTTTGAAAGATTGTGCAAGGTATCTGGGCTGATGTTTCCATTCCACTGCATGTAAGACTTAATATCATAGAGAAGTGAAGAACTCATGTTAAGCTTCATTCTCTAGTTAATTATCCAGTCTTAGTAACAAAATGTTAAGAAGTGATTCTAAGAAGACACTAGTATTTCATATCAAAGAAACTCAACAGATGCCACAGAAATATCTAACAGCAGCTATTAAGCCAATATTCCTGTGCTGACCAGAAGCTGCTCATTTTTAAAAACCTGCATGTAGTTTCACAATACCTACTGTCAGCACCACTTGCACATAACAGCACTCTCAGGTTATGGTTGCTTATACTTGCTCGTATAAATTGAAGACAAACTTCAATGTTGCTTTTAAGCCTGATGAATGATTTAAACACATTTACTTCAGTATGTGATCTAACTAGAATTCCAATTCATAAGCAAAATCAGGCTAAAGCATGCATGATTCCTGGTACATTATGACTCTACCAGCCTCCAAACAGCAGTCATAAACAGCTTAAATTTCCCTAGCAACTTCCAACACAGCCTCAGGAACACATGGCAGTATGCTGACTTTTTTCTTGCAGCTTGGTAATTTGTACATCATGCAGCATGGTACCACAGTAAGACCAGTACAGCCTTGCTTACACGCCTCTCACCCATTGATGAGGCCTCAATAATGACACACCTGCTTCAACCAATTCTCCTGTTTGCAGCCAAGCATTAAGTTGAATTTAACCAGTATGACTGTGCCTTCATTTCAAACCCTTTATGTACACAGCACAGGTTATAATAACAGAATCAAAGCAACATAGTAATTTGAATATTGGAGCTAATGAGTCATAAGTTCAGAGCAACTAAATCATACAGTTCTAGAACATTTTGTTACAGTTATCTATATGGATACCATACCTCAGATGTGGCTTGGTAACTACTCCGATCATCTTTTTAACAGTCTGTGCTTCACAAACCCACAGACTTAAATCGACAGCAAGTGTCTTTCCTTTGAGACTACTCAAGCTTACAGGCTGCCTCACAGGCTCCAGGATTTGCCACAGATTAGTCACTCCCATTGTTCTACCTTCTTCGTTGTCAGCAGGAAGGTTTTAGCTTTAAAGACTAAGGAAAATAAAATATTTTCATCAAATGAAACATGACATACTATGAACGTTAAGACCAGAACACAAATACCCAGACATTATCAGTTTTGCTTTTAGGAGCAAAGAACACACAAGCACTCTACAGATGGTTTATTACTTGTTACCTTCACTGCATTACATATTATCATTTCTAACAGTCTGAATGTAAAAACAACCATAATACAATATAACACAATATAAATTCAACTGAAACAAGTAAACCAAGCTATAAATTACTTCTAAAGTATCCCACACATAACTAAATTCCAAGTCTTATTTAAAAAGAAAAAAAACAATATCCACACTCTCCAAGGAAATTACTTCCTGATGTGAAGCTGTAGGATCCACCTGCAAGGAGTCAACACAGACAACCTCAAGAAGTTCCTTCAAAAAACCATTTTTGAAGTTATAACAGCATAACTCCAGGAACATGATAACATCTCTCTTCTTACTACTTTTAATCTTTTAATGAGTGACTGGCTCTAAAATACCTCTAAGGAACACCAGCTGATAACATACATCCCCTAGGCAGTACATTTCTTTGTCTCTTATTTTTTTTATGCAGCTGTCATCCATATTACTCCATTACTGTTTCCTTTTCTTCACTTTTCCTTGGATAGTTCTGGTTTTCATATCTTGCTGCTTCTATATGAAGCCTCTGACTTGTAAAAGAGAGGGAAAACCCTCACAGTATCCATTTATTCCTGCACTGCCTTATCACACCAAGTTTGCCTCATGCTTATTTAAGTTTCTCTCAATTCCCTCAATATCAAAAGACAGAAATAAGATCTCAAATATTTTTATTTATTGTGTCCAGAATTTGAAACTGTACGCACACAAAGAATACACTTCCCTCTTTTGAAACTGACTTGATGAACTCTGACTTGCTTAAGACACATGAGGATATTCCACTTTGTTGCCTCTTGTGAGCAGAGCCACATCAAAATCAAGAAGCTTCCTCATCCAACACCTGGCACAAGTCTCTCCTTGCAAGTTGTTTTGTACTGCTTTAAAACAAGGCAGCCATTCAGGAATGTAACCTGATAACCTTCTACCACTGCAGGCATTCTATACTTTTTTTTTTAATCATATTCTCAAAGAAAGCTTTACCATCAACACAAATTGTGTTTCTGTAATCCTTCAAACACAAAACCCCGTTTTAGTCGTACGCACTCAAGGCATAACACAGTAAAATTACCTTGCTGCTGTTATGCCTCAGGATATAAAATGAGTTAAAATTAGGAATAAAGCAAACAAACACGCGGCGTTACTTCTTGAAGCACAGAGCGATCCGTTTCTCGGACGTACCAGGGGAAACCAACAGACGCACACAAACCTTCTCCAAAGACACGTGGGGATGCAACGGAACGACAGAAAGGGGCATCCTTCGGTCTCACAGAGACGGAGGCTTCTAAAGACAGAGGCTGACCCTGGTTTCCTTTCTACATGCAGACGAATCGCCGGCGATAAGCACAGCATCGTAAGATCACTGGCAGGAAACATAAACTAAAACACACATAAAAAACACACACAAACCTTTTCAATGGAGCACAGCTGAGGCGTTCAGCACTCCGTCCTCCCGCCCTACAGCTGTGCCCACGAAGAAGCCCTCCCTCCAATTTAAACACTTGAAACTCCCGCCTCGATCCAACCGCAGTCCCACACAAGCGCAGGGGCCGCCTACCCGCGTCCCGCCCGAGCCCTGGAACTCTCCTATCCGAGGACGCCGGCCACCATCCCTCCACCGCAGACGCTCACCCCGCACATCTCCGCTCCGCCCTCCCGAAAATGGCGGCGCACGGAAACGGCCCCTCGGCGGGCAGCGCGCATGCGCCGCGCTCTTGGCGGCTCTTCCGTTACGCATTCCCTTCCGCGCCGCTGCTTGAGGAAGCGGTGTTTTGCCCGCGTTCAACTTTCTGCCCGTAGTAACGGTCCCGCCGGCGGCGACGGCAGGTAGGGCGAGGAGCGATTGACCCCGCGGGGCTGCAGTGGTTGGGGGCGGCTGCGGTGGAGCGCAGGTTGCGATCCTTTCCCTGGTGAGGCCGCACCTGTCCTGTTGTGCGTGCAGTGTGTAGTGAATGCACCCTGTCTTCCTATGCTGTGGCTTTAGTGATGGGAGTACTTCTCTGCTGTCAAGTGTAGGAGTGCTTATCCTGTACTAAGTGACACTGTGTTTTCCTTTTATGCTCTTGTTAGGTGCATAACAATTACTTGTAATAATTTGCATTAATTGGTGATGTTTTTATAACTGGATTTGTCTTGCTCTTATTTCTTCATGGTTGTTGCTGTGGGCTTTGTTTGTAACTGTGCTTGTTCATTCCATGCTAGTAAGTTTCATGCTCTTTACTGAATTGATGCTTTTGTATTGTCTTTTGGAATGGCAGTCTGATTATCACTTATATTACTGATGTTCCTGACTTTGTCATCACAAATTTCCATTCACTGTCCTATATATGGCAATATAGCCATAAATTTAGACTTTGGATTTAAAATATGATGTGTGTTGTGTCTAGTCCTTGTAGCAAACTTCTGTTAACATTTGTCAATATTATTTGTTGTTGACTTCCCGTTAACTTATTTTATGTCTTAAAATGTACTAATGTTTATTTTTGCCAGTTGATGGAATTCATACTGCTGGTCTTTAATATTAATTACAGCATTTAAGACATGTATTTTTTTTCTTCTTCGTTGAGTGGGATTTCAATGGAACAACAGAGTGAACAAAGATCTGTCTTCATGTTAGAGTAATGGATAAATTCCAAGGATTTACAAGTAACCCTTTGCTGATATTAGTTACAAAGAGATGGTTCTATAAGAGACTGAAAGTAACACAGTAAAAGGTATGTAACTGTATGATGAAATGTATTTGTTGCTTGCTTTACAAGTATGGTATTAGACTGTGTAACGTAAAAGAACATCAGCTGGGAAGTTTATTGTGTTTCTGTCTTTTGAAACTTCTCCATTACACTTAACAGGAAGAGTTGTATACTGTTTTTTATCAACTGTGTGCACTAAGACAACGAGGAAATTATTAAGCACTGTTTATGAAAGTCAAGGAATACTCACAGAAGAAATTCAGTAGTCTTTGTAGTGGTGTCATAAATTGTAATGTCTGTGGTGTTTGATGTAATAAATGCTACTGCCTGTGATGCTTGTAAGTATGAGTCTTTTGTCTGTTGAAATCAGGCTAATGTTATACCAGAACATTAAGATGGCTCAGGTAGAAGAACAACAGAATTCTAGGGTTTGTAAGTGACCTCTAGAAATCATCAAGGCCAGCCCCCCCCAGCTAAAGCAGATTCCCTACAGTATGTGACACAGGAAAATGTGCTGATGGGTCTATCCTGAGCAGAAAAACATTCCAAAATGTTTCCAATTACTCCACATATTTTGGCATCAAAAAATCATGTGGTGGATATCAGTTGAAGTATGGTCAGAACATTTATCAATAGTATGGACTGCTATTCCATTGTGTGTTGTCTTTGTAGAAATGTGACCTTTTTTTCTTCTATGGCTGAATGTGATCTTGCTTGCCTTCTGTAGTGTTTTCGGTCTCTAGATGTTACGAATGTAGAAAGTGTTTTTTGAGGAATAAGAAACACATCCTGTTGCAGAAAAGACTACATTTTGACTAGTCTTAATACTTGATGTTTAGTTATATGTGACTTGAGTAGACTTTGTTACTTTTGCAAGATTCGTCTAGTAGCCACATTAGTGCAATGGGTTATTTCTCAGTTTGTAAAGGAAGTATTTGTATATGCATACACATGTAGGTATGTTCTCAGAGAACTGTAATCCTTCATTAGTAAAATAACAGCATTTTGCTTTCCATGGCAAAGACAGAACCTTACAAAGACAGGTATGCTTTCTGCAGAAACTGCATAAATCTAAATGATCCTCTCTTTTGCTTTTTGGTATCTCAGATAGAATCCAGGTTGACCTCTGTTGGTAATCCAGAAACTCAACTTGATTAGAATAATGAAGTTGTTTTTCTTATTATAAAGCCTTTTGCAAAATAAGCTTAAGCTTAAATTCACTGAGATTTCAGTTCTGAGAATTCACTGAGATTTTAGTTCAATGCAACATTTGCTATGATCTTTATATTTCTTGTGTCAATTTAAATAAATACAGTCTGTGTTGTTATCTGTTGGTGTGTTCTCATTTAACAGATAGGTTTCAATCTTCTGTTACTTTCATGTTTTCTCAGTACTCATGGGTAAGAGAAAGGAAGAAAGTGTTTCAAAGCCTCCATCCCACAAAAGACAGAGACAAGAACACACAGATGAACATAGTGATGAGTCCAGTGATGAAGGAAACTCACTGTTTTCAGCTGATAATAGCTGTTTCTCTTTAACATCGGTAAGTTGTTCTAAAAAATCCGCCTAAAAATTGGTATTTAAAAAAAAAAAAAGTAAACCTGTGGCTTTGGTTGATTTTTTTGAAGTAAGTCTTAAATATAGGATTCAATGGAACCAATACAACAAAATGAAACAATTAGAGTTAATGACTGTAATAGGACTTCTGAATGAGTTCACTCTTTTCTCAGATCATGTATTTTTGGCAGTTGATCATAAAGCAATGTGTAGGTCACTTGAAAAGTAGTGCCTCCTATTTCACAGAATCATAGGATTGTTTGAGTTGGAAGGAGCCCTTAAAGATCATTTAATCAAACTCCTGTGCAATGAGCAGGGACACCTACAGTTCCATCAGGGTGCTGAGCCCCATCCCTCTGATTTTGAACATCTCCAAGGACAGAGCTTCCTCCGCCACTCTGGGCAACTTGTTCCAGTGCCTCACTACCCTTTTGGTAAAAACTTCTTCCTTATATCCATTCTAAATTTCCCATCTTAGTTTGAAACCATGTCCCCCTTGTCCTGTCACAAAAGACCTTGCTAAAGAGTCTGTCCCCTTCTTTGTTATAGCCATCTTTTGAATATTGCAATTCTGTTATCAGATCTACCCAGAGCCTTCTCTTCTCCAAACTGGATCGCTTCACGTGTAAAAAATGGCACATATTCAGTGATACACCTTTGCTTCATCTGCGCTTCCATGTCTGATGCCATTTTATCAGATTGCCACTCTGCTGCACAGAACAAAATGTAATGGAATGCTGGCAAGAAGGTTCAACCTCTACTCCCATCCCACCACCATCCACATCTGACATTATGAAGCAACATAATAAAATAGGAGGCACTATAGTATAGTATGGTATCCTAGTTTTATGGAATGAATACTACTGAAATTGACAAGTAAAGCAAAAGGACTTTATAGAATTATTGCATTAGGAAAAGTAGAAAGTGTATTTAGAAAAACATGATTTGCTGAAAAAAGCACTGAATGCTTTCATTTCATAGCTGATGCTTGCAAACAAATAACAGAAATGTTTGAAATGCAATGGAACTTGAAGACGTGAATATTCTTTTCTCTTCTTCTGCAGTAGTTGAATTTCAAGTTTGGTAGTCTTTTTAAAAATATTTACTGAGCTTAAGTATATAGCTTTGCATATTATAAGATACTGATGTTGAGTTATAGAGAGATATAAATTGAGATATTACTCTTCATTTTCTTGAATAGTATTCTCTATTCTGTGTCACTCCAAGAAATTTTTTCTTGGTTAGAAAACTTTTTCAGAAGCATTGATAATAAAACAAAAATCTGTTGTCAGAAAAGTACTTTGGGAGTTGTACATGAAGTGTTATTTCAATAACAAGAAGTCTTTCTATGATACTCCTTATTAACTGCTCTAATAATTGTCTGTAATGTATGATCTTAATCTTTGATGTTATGTAAAATAAAAGTTAGAGAACTGATCAATTTTCACTAACTGTTTTTATCTTGATTGACATAATAACTGTTCTGTAATGAGCAATTTTCATAGTATCATGGATGAATGCTGATTTCCTTGTGGTTTGTTACCATTCATGCTTTTTATCATAGTCATTTGAATTCTCATTATGTTTGAAGTATGTGAAATGTGTTTCATTAAAACACACAAGTGACGTAATATCTGACGTAATATCTGATTATTTAGACTGTAGGGGAAGCTGGGATAATTGAAAGTATCCAGCTGAAGAACTTCATGTGTCATTCGATGTTGGGGCCTTTTCAGTTTGGATCGAATCTCAATTTTATTATTGGAAACAATGGAAGTAAGTACTAATTGTATCGTTGCTATATGGAAGAACACTTTTGTTGAGACTTTAAAATGTATAATTTCTATTTGAAAAAGAATTGCTAGTTCATCTCTGAATCTTTGGGGACTGTATCATAGAATCACCAAGGTTGGAAAAGACCCACAGAATCACCCAGTCCAACCATCCACCAGTCACATTTGTTCTCACTAAACCATGTCCCTCAACACAACATCCAGCCTTTCCTTGAACACCTCTAGGGTCAGTGATTCCACCACCTCCCTGGGCAATCCATTCCAGTGCCTGACCACTCTTTCAGAGAAGTGGTATTTCCTAACATTCAGCCTGAATCTTCCCTGGTGCAACTTGAAGCTGTTCCCTCTAGTTCTATCACCAGGTACATGAGAGAAGAGGCCGACCCCCCAGCTCACTACAGCCTCCCTTCAGGTAGTTGTAGAGAGCAATAAGGTCTCCCCTGAGCCTCCTTTTCTCCAGACTGAACAATCCCAGCTCCTTCAGCCGCTCCTTATAAGGCCTGTGCTCCAAACCCCTCGTCAGATTTGTCCTTCTTTGAACCGCTCCAGGGACTCAATGTCTTTCTTGCATTGAGGGGCCCAAAACTGGACACAGTACTG